CATCGCATTTGGACTGTGTCAGGCACAAACAGCAATATCAAGCAATGGGCCTCAAACTGGAAATTTTGTTGCCAAATGAAGGAAGGGTTACTCAGGCTTTACTTTGAATCTCCGTCCACTTTTCATTGAACACATGCTTTTTTTACACTTTAGAACATGTTTGACAGCCTTGCTTAAAGTATGCTGTTGCTCAATAGCTGTGAAGCGGATGTTAATGCTGCAGTGCAGGGCGTACTCCAAACCACTATTAAGCCAAAAAGTTTTCCAACAGTGTTAAAATACTGGGCTACAGCTTGGCGTTACAAGGCCAGTATTTGTATTTCCTGTCCCATGCGTAGTACTAACCAGCCTGGAAATTCTAACTGCACATGTATTTGTGCCGCACAGTAAGGATCCTCAGTTTTAGTCTCAAATTGAAAATGGCTCAAGGACTTTGTTTTAGAATATATTATCCGAGTTAAAAAAAAGAGGAATGAAAAGTCTAAGCTCATTGCTAGAACAGCTGGACATTTTTAGGCAATTAAATGCAACACAACACGGCGGAAATGTTAATGTAAATAAAATCATTTGAAATGAAAGTTCGAACATTTCGATTAGATATTTTCCACGACCGTAAGTCGCAAATCAGTGGCCTGCCGCTAACGGGTGGTAGCTCCGTATGCTGAAATTACTAGAGAAAGATTATTGGATGCTTGGTTACTCCTGACGGTGTGCAGTTTCTTTCATCCATGGCATTGACAGCATGTTGAATTTCCAATTTTCTTTAAAATAGATCACGAGTTCATTAGCTGACTGATATAACTGCGCATTTTTGCTAGAGGCAATTGTGGATTGATTCGTAGTGATTGCATTGAAAACCTTAGGCTACCATGCGCCAAGCTTGCCAATGTAATCATGCGTTTTTGCAATGAATTTGCAACAGTCAGATTATTAAAAGCATCGATAGTTCTAGCGTTACAGTTTGACACGTGGGCACATGTTGATTGCGCTCACTGACGTTCCCTCGCATGTAAAAAGAAAAAGCGTTGGTCAGCATGGTGGTGCTGCATCACAAAGCCGCGTGGACCTTCAGCGTGCATAATGATTATCAGTTTGCAAAAAGACCGGTCGTTTTTCCGGTGGACCGTTTTTCATCGAGCCGTAGGCTAGGATACATTTCAGGAGGACGTCCTCTGTCTATGCATAGATCTTAAAAACTCAAATTTAACTCACAAGTATACCGTGGTCTGCCACGCCAAAACTTTCATGACCACGTAATAGTTTTGGTGCGAAGTCATTCGGAAGCCGAAAAACGAAGAGATCGAAATTTAGGAAGGACGTATACATCCGAGTTTTCAAATCAGCTTCAACGCCCGCCTATGTTTCATGTACCGGCACGTGAAATTTTTAGTAGGAAATTTGCAGCTTAGGGAACGAACAAAACATTGACTATTTTGGCACAGACCAGACAGCAAAACAGTGGAAATCCTCAGCAGGCAAATATCCGCTAAACCGAACTGCGCAAAACACATGATCGCACCAGCTACTCTGGTGCGCGCCGCTATTTATTGCATTTGCATACATGTAAAAATGCAGAAAAATTACAAGCCTGTACAGTGATTCAGGTAACTGTGCGTTTTTGCATATTTATGCAAATGTAAAAATGAACAGTTATTTGTATGCATGCATGTATGTGTGCTTTCGGGGCGAGTGAAGCTTATTACCCACTTTCAACTCAGCAACCGAGGAAGTCGGAGAACTGAAATTTGAGGAGTATAGTCCGCGCGCTCCTAAGTCTCGTCTGTGGAAGCCCGATAATAAGCATGCAAATTTTTCGGCGGGAAACGTTTTCGGGGCCGGTCAATGCAGGTAGCTATATTTGTGTTAGGATGTTTTCTGCTCTTGTGCAGTCTAAAGATTTCAAATTCAGCTATTGCGTGCGCTTGCGTCAAGCGTCGATCACATCAAAGTTTTAGTCACATTTATTAAAATTAATACAAACTTTGCTAGGGATGAACGAAATTCAAGAACGAAGCAGTTGGACCCAAAAACAATTATTGGCGGCTCGCATCAGGCGGGTCCATGCGATCGTATTTTTACAGTATTTCATGCTATATCGCTCGGGGACCCAGTAGCTAGAATTTGTGACATACTTGTCCTCGAAGTTGGGAAAATTAATTGTACATCTACGTGGTACCTGAACAGGGGACATTCCATTAAAAT